AAAATTGTGCATAAATCATAAAAATATCCTATAGAAAAATAATGCCATTGTTTGAAAAATAATTCAGGAAGTTGGTTGATATTCAACTGCTTCACAATGTATCGGATGTGTCACAATACGCATTGTAAGTTAGTGCCTAACATCAACCTTCAATCATTAAAAAAGTAATTTGATTTTGAATTACTTGAAATACAGATTTTTGCAATTGAAATTAGTGCAGTCAATTGCGGAGCAGCTACAAATGATAATGAGAAATCAGTCTTTTCTTGACCCTTCAACATTCCATTATGATTTCCTTAAAAAAATCCACATCATACAGAGTGGTCACTTTTTTAATATTGATAACTTTCAAACCATAAAATTCAGAAGGTCGGTCAACAAGATAAAAAGTTGCATTCATAGAAACACTGTCAACTGCGTCGGTGGGACCTTAGCCTGGTGGGTTGACGTGGGTGGTTTGCTGTTTGCTTCACTAACTCAATCAACCGATGTGTGAACCGGTGGTTCACACAGCTATCCTCCAACCTGTAATAGAAATCACACGTTAAAAGGTAAGACCTCGTTAAGCCTCAGCTCGCACAAGTTTCAACTTTGGAGAGTTGTCGTTTGCAGGGTGGCGACAGCTGGTTAGCGCCGGAAAAGTATATTTTAACAGATTTTCATGGATCAACAGTTCAAACAAATAATATCAGGGCCGGTTATTGAGATATCGTATTGAAAGTAAATTATGTCATTTTGATTTTTGTTTTTTTCCCAAGTCATTTCAAATTTCATCAAAAATATTAGACTTTATTTATTCGATAGTTAATTATCCTCAGTTTGACGTAATCAAATTTCTAATCCCACGTTTCGTCCTATCTAGACCATCCTCAATCTATTTTTTTCAATACGGACCTGCATATTTCATGAAACTTTTCGAAATAACTCTTCACGCTAAATTCAACATTATATCATACAATGTCATTCGAAGTTGATTTTCAGGTTATTTTCTTCGGTTTGGATCTGTATTACATTAACCTACCTTTAGTTTAATTAACAACATGCAATACATTTCGATAAGGAAATCATCTCACTTATCTTAATAAGTAATAATCATTTACATATTTCAAAAGGGAAGAAAAACTTAATTCATATTATTTAAACGAAACTATCATTTATTCGAAAAAAAAGTAAATGAATATTCGAAAGTAAATCAAACTTTTTTCAAGTAAGTGTTCGAAGTTTCCACCATTTTGTAAAATTCACTTTGCGGTTGTGGAACATTTATACCCAGTGGATGCGACCCAGTTGGAATATTTAAAGATCCGGTATAATTTTTTCAAAAACTACACCTCACGATTTGATCTCCACAAACTCTATTTGAAAAATACACATCACAACATGTTTTGCTAACACAGTGATTTGTATTAAAATCACTTGATAATATACAGCGTGACTAACGGTCGATGGTAGGTTAGACGTTTCTAGAAAACGCAAAGCATGATTTTTCTGAAAATTTCACCTCTCACATTTCCTTACCTGTTCTATCGATCT